AAATGGAAATGGTCATTGCTAGCTCCCTCCCCCCTCCCTCAGGCCCTCCCCGCCTCCCTTGAGGTCAATCTGCTTAAGCGACATGGCAATTGCACGAATTGCGGAATTGTGATTGTGCAGTTTGTTCATTGACATTGCTTGATTTCTCCACGTTCTGATACGTTTCGTATGTTTAGTATGTTTAGGCAGGTTTCGTGCGTCGACCTGGCGGGGTTCTATCAAGCCAAGCAAGTGCATCTGCTTTCTGAACATGTTTAGGGCAGTTTAGGCACTTGCCCCTGCCTGCCGAGTGTGCGCACAATAACTCACGAGCTGTATTTGCGCAGTTTGTTTGCGCTTCTCTTAGCTGCGCCTGGCCATCTTCTCAAGCTTGACTTTCTTTTCGTCCAGTTGGGCCGGGCCCTTCTCCTTGCAGGCATGCCGTGAATTGGTGCTCCAAGACACGGACCCCACAATGGCCTGGAGCCCGGATGGCACTCACACCGTGTTTCCAATGCTCGTCGTTCGAGTGCAGGTGGCCTTGGTGCTGGCCGTCGGTCATGCCGACATCTCGGGGTGCTGCAAGTCTCTGCTCAAGAAGCGAAGCACAGTCATCGCCCTCTGTACCAATGGGTTTCTTCGGTGGTGCTGGTGCACAACTACTTTGCGCCTCACGACGATGCAAGATGTGCTTTACAGAATTTCAGTGGCGACCTGACAAGGCCATCGGAGATGATGTGCTTCTGAGACATGCCTACTGGCCCAATCCTCATCTTATGCCAAAGCCAGGCTTTTGGCCAACGTAGTGATCGTCACTTGTGGCAGTTTTGAAGGCGCATCCGTGAAGAACTGTGTGGTCCTACAGGGGTGCATCTCGCACGTGTTTTTAGCTACCTCGAGCTGAGCAGCCGATGAGTCATCAAAACCGCGTCCAGCAGAGCCCAGCATGATTGAGTTATTCGTGCCGACACTGTGGGAGAGACAAGGTGGCGGTGCTGAAGTGGGGGCTTCTTGAGCTGATGCTGTCGGGCAAACGCCAGGTGCCAGAAGAATGGCTGCAGGGAGCGAACCCTGTCCGACTTCTGAAAGGCTTGCAGACCGATCACGACTGGACATGTGCTCATTTTCGACATCAGTTCAAACGTCTTTGCATGAAATCCGGCAACCTCTAGAATAACCAAAAAACCGTGTCTCACGTCTGCGGCCGGCCGTTTATCCTTTATTGCCTTACTCGCATGCTCCCCGAAGCGCAATTTTCACGCTGACAGGTGGGTATCTGGCGCACCGAACGATCTGCAAAACACCCTTGAAAGTTCTGTCCAAGGCCTGGTGTTTCCAGGTACGCGTCAACATCGAGTCTAGCTTTGGGTTCTGCGCTCTGCGATGCAGCGACGACAGGCTTTGGAGGAAGACATTGCTGCAAAGCACAGGCCGGCGCTTGTTTAGTGCTTCTGGTTCCCGGCCGACTCGGCCTTCCGAGGCAGTGGCTGACCTCCACGGACTGCTACACTCTCTGCCAGGCAGTTTCATTGATCCAAATTGAATAACGCTGTTAAGTGTTTCTTCCGAGGTCCGCCGGGTGCGTTCTGAGGATGGGGGCTACCCCCACTTCTACGAGCTTCTTGACGCTTTCAATGCTCGCTGGTTTGTAGCTGAAAGCACCAAACATGCGCCTTGCCAGGTTGCGTCTGGACCATTCGGACGAGATTCTGATGACGGCCCAGAGGCGAATCTGAACTTGCCTTGAGTTTCATTAACGAGAACATGCAATGCCACCACACCAGCTGTCGCTGAAGGGAAGATGAACAAAGTCCTTGCCGAATCTATGCCCACAAGGCAGCATCCAGAGCCTCCGGAGCATAAGTGCTAGGAAGCATTTGGGGGAGGCAGCCGGTCCAGAAAAGTCGGAGCACTGCCAGGCCGTGCTCTGCCTGCGGCTTTGAGTTGACCTGCAAAAACAGACAAGCCGTGATGAGGAATACATCGGCAGTGTGGTGCCAAACTTCTGGGGGACTCTCTTCACCCTCTATGACAGCGGGGCGGATGCCAGACCCGCGGGCTTCATAATGTCCGACAGGCAGAGTTCGGAACGACCTCGCTTTGCCACGGCAGGTAGAGGAGCTAATGAAGCGCGGGGAATGGCTCCGTGGTCTACCTCTCAGGCGCAGTGGCCGAACGAGTTAGCAGACCTGGCAAAATGGACATCCGTGAACCCAATCTGCGTGCACAGCACAGCACATCACGCAGGCCGCGGAAGACCATCGTAAAAATCGGGTACGAAACCAACGTTTTCGGAGACAGCCCAAGGACCAGGGAGTGATTCCGCTGCCTTGGATCAGCAACTTTGCCCTGCAGCTTGCAGAGTAAAGCTGTAGTCGTTCAGGAGAGTTTCAGTCGAGTACGTGCAAAACAGCGAAAGGCGAAACGTGTCGTTTCTTTGCCGGAGTAGGGTTGACATTGTGGGCTTTGTGATCAGGCCAAAGATGGAGAACTTGAAGCCACGATGGGTTGGGGACTCTGTCACCCTAACATGTCATCACATTGTTGTTTCCTATGCTCCCTTCTCATTCTCTGAATTGCATGACCGACCCATCGGCGTCCACTTGGTGAAATGAAGCTAGCTGGAGCTGTTGCTGATCCCTCCGAGGACAAGAAGCTGAACTCCTATGCCTTGCCCTTCTTTGGACGGGTGCACAAACCCACATTCAGTTCTGTTTTCGCAAGATTCAGACGACCTGACGACGGGAGTTTGGTCGACTGCATAAGGGAGCGTGCGTGAGAATGGAAGGCGAATGCCACGGCGGACAAAGTGTGACGGCACGCCAGGTTAAAAAAGCGAGTGCGAAGAATTTTCAGCTCGTTGTGAATGCAGTGCTGCCCTTGGAGATGTAAAGGCATGAACTGAGGATAACCGTGGGAGAGGCAATTCGACTCATCTCAACCATAGAAGAGTGAAGTGTTCCTTTCACAGTAGAGCTGTTGTGACCCTCGAGCAAGCGGCATGGCCAGGGCATGGTCAAGCTGAGGATCCGAACACCATCTATTTGATGTTCGGGAAGGTGTCAAAGGTGCCCGGGCCGCACGGGTCTGGTGTTATTATGGACTCAAAGAGCTCCATGTCAAATCGCAGCAGCATGAGCAAACGATCCCGGACGCGAGTGCTAGTCAAGGACGTCTTCTGCTTGGACTTCCGGGGACCAATCGCGCCCCTGGAAGCATTCGCGATAGCGCCCGCTGCTTACAGGGTCGGCTCGTACACGGGCGGATCAGTCCAAAGTTGCCGTTGGACAGCGCAAGTGTCGCGTGCTGTCGTGCGCATAGCTGCAGGGCAGCTGCCTTGGCGAAGAAGCGAGCTGTGAGTTGATCCTTGTCACCTCGAACACGGTGGTTTTAAAGGATGGGAAAAATCGTAATTACGTAGCATTCCGCACCTACACGATGTAGATGCAATTCAGCCTCGCCAATGCACCTGTGACATCGACTGGCTTTCTTAGCAGCCTCAGGGCATCCTGTCTCACTCGGGCGGTCTCGTTTTGTGTACTCACAAAAAAAAGGCTCGTGGACCATGACGGCATGTGCAAGGTTGTGGCTAGATTATCCGTCTTGGTTCTGCAAGGGGTGGCATTGACAGATGCTAGCTGTTAGAACCAGTAGTATCATGTCATATATTACCATCTGATCGTTCTGGAAGAAGGCTTGCCAGAATTGAGGCAGGTTCGCAGTCGACGTGCTCTTACTCGCAACGGCATCAGTCGTTTGTTGTGGACAAGACGCCCAACAGCGAATTGCAGGTGAACAGAGGTTGCATGGCATGGGGTGTGCTCCTGTTCATTTCACATCCATGCTGTCAGTTGCATCAGTCAAAAAACCGTCCTGATGCGCAGCTTCTGGTCTTGACCGACTTACCTCGACTTCTCGTGCCACAGTCTTGGTTTCAGTGTCGGTTCTGCAGATCGTTAACTTCGGCGATGCTGGAGCAACGTAAAGAGTTGCATTCCCAGGCTCGACAGTCGTGGTCGTAAAGTACTTCGAGATGTCGATCTTGCTGACAGTGGAGGCCTAGCTGATGCAAAGCTGCAGATTGCCTCCTCGCTCGCAACACGGGATGGTAGTCGCAGCTGCAAATGTGGCCGACTGTCGTCAATGTTGCGCAGGCACTGCGAGGCAAGAGAGCGTGACTGAGAGTCCGCGGCCAAGTAAGAGCCTGCGCGCGCTTCCCTGCACAGACTAGGATTGTCGATGCAGTCATTCCCAGCTGCAATCAGTTTCAGTGCAGCAGGGAAGCGGCTCGGCCGAGTGTGCAGACCGCCCGTCCACGCGTTGCTTGCAGTGTAGAGTCTCGAGCGAGGTCTCAATGACAAGGCTTTGAATCAGAGGTCCCACACGGACTTCGAAATCAGCCGAGAGCTCGGCCGTAGTGAGGCCGTCTTCTCTCTGAGCGCCCAGTGCCCCAGGCCTTGGCCGCTGTCGTCTTCGCTGCCGTGACACCGACCTGGGGGCCGAGGCGCTTCCTCGCAGTGATTTGCGCGTCTGTCGGAAGTCCTTGGACCAAGACCTGGCTTGATGAGCTTTCGTCGGCACGCCAGCGAGCGACAATGAGCCTCCTGGCGAGCAGTATGTATGTCTGCATGTATGTAGACGTGAAATCCTATCTGTATGTATACAAAACAATACGTTTTATGCATGTCATGTAAGTATGCATGTATGTCTGCATGTATGTCTGCATGTATGTCTGCATGTATGTCTGCATGTATGTGACATGTGTATTCCTAATCATCCTAATATGCATGTACAATACCTGTAAAGCTGATATCATAATATCCAATTCTGTTTCTCAGTCGCGCGCTCGCTCGCTCGCTCGCTCCCTCCCTCCCTGCCTCCCTCCCTCACTCACTCACTCACTCACTCACTGTGTTAAATGTGACCAGCCCCCAGGGAAGGGCAACGGAAAAAAGGTGTAAAGGAAATGGAAAAGCAAAAGGAATGAGACGAATGAAAGGAAAGGGAAAAGGTCGAGGATGTTTTTTCTGTGGTGACCCAAACCACTGGAGCAAGGAATGCCCGCAAGGAGGTAAAGGTAGAATGTCAGCTGTGACTGGTGAAGAGAACCAGTAGGAGAATCAGCAAGGAGAACGGAATCAGGATTGGAATCAGGATGATGGATGGTGCGATGATGGTTCGACATGGGATGAATCGGGTTGGAATTCTGAGTGGATTTAGTTCTGTTGATGATTGGTCCGGTGATCGGTCATGGTTCGATGACGACTGGAGTTATTGGCCTGAGGACTGATCCTGGAACACTCAGGATAGGTGGACGACTGAGGTTCAGCCAATGGTGCCACGAGCTCAGCTAATGTCCCTCAGGACACCGCCAAACATGAGCCACCACAGAGTGTTTCCACTGTGGCTGTCGAACCTTCGGATCAGAATGCTCCCCGGGTCGCGAAGACCGCACTCACTCACGCATTCACGCACGCACTCACGCTCGCCCCCCTCACTCACGCCCGCACGCCAGCTCTCAAGCTCGCACGCCTGCACGCCCGCACGGCCGGTGGGCCTGCGCGCGCCGTGCATGCCCCGAACCCCACCAAACCACGGCCCTGCGTCTTGCAGTGTTGCTGCAGAGGCATTGTGCTTCCTTGAGGGTGTGGGCCCCGTGTGGGATATTGCAGGTTACATCTGCAGCAGCCCCCCAGCCTTCCTTCTGTGTTCTCTTTGCTACAATTGTTCACTGCAGCTGATGATTCAATGCAGCTCATGTACGGTTGGCGAATGTTGCCGAGCTATGCCATCCTATTGTGCGCCCGAGTGCACTCTGAGGGTTTTGTGATGCCTTCCCTTTGTGGCCCAGGCAGCTCTGTGCGCGATCCATCGGAAATGTGTGCTGTAGTTTAAGCGTGTGTGCCTGGGTTGGAAGTGTTGCCCGCCCGTCCGCCCCGCCCGCCCGCTCGCCCGCCCGCTCGCCTGCGCGCCCGCCCGCTCGCCCGCACTCACGCACTCTCGCACTCACCAACTCACTCACTGATTCATTGACTCCACTCCACTCCACTCCCTTCCACTCCACTCCACTCCACTCCACTCCTCTCCACTCCCTTCCACTCCACTCCACTCCACTCCACTCCACTCCACTCCACTCCACTCCACTCCACTCCACTCCACTCCACTCCACTCCACTCCCTCCCTCACTCACTCACTCTCTGTCCCTCCCTCTCCCTCTCTGTCACGGGACACGCAAGCGTGGTCTCACGTCCGGTTCAAGCTTCCGAGCAGATGTCCTCCAGTGAAGCTATTGCTTAGGAAGCCTGAGGTCTCCACCAAAGTGTCCCTGACTGAACATGGACAGTCAGTCCGGTTCAGAGCCCAATTCAGCATGTCATGTGTAGTGTCGTAGTTTTTTCATCAAATCCTCCTGTGGCCTCCGAGCCAACACCGACCATAGCCATCCGGAGTTGAGCAAACGGCCACAGGAAGATTTGTTTTAAGTCGGAAAGAGCACCTGATGCTCCAGCACTCAGGTAAGGATGTTGCATTTGCACAGCTGGCTGTGCTGGGGGAAGTTGTGCGCACGTGCGTACTTTGTTTAATGACGTTCGCAGCGTTCACAGCTGGACCACAAGTCGGAGACGTGAGCTTCTGGACGGCTTGAGTCGACCAGCTTTTTTGCAGAGGACAGAGGCCTGGATTGGAATGCACTGGCACCAGTGCGGCGCTTGCGCCGCAACGCATGCTCATCAGAGGCTGGATACGTATGGCCTCTAGAGCCGCTTTTCGTATCCAGGAAGTTTTTTAGCCGATCCAGACCCAAGCATTTTGCCGTAATTCGCAGCAGCGAAATGCAACAGCAAGGCTTTCCCTTCTGTGGGCTTATCACCCAACCCATCATGCTGCTCATGTTGCTCGAAACTCCTGCCCGCTTGGAGGTGAGGTGAGAATGAGCAAGGTGGAGCCTTCCTAGGAAGCGAAGGCTGCTGGTGCATCGAAATTCGGCTTCTCAAGAGCAAGACGGGCACGCCTGTGAATGGAATCATCTTGGAATAGTGTCCGGGGCACTTCCGAACGTGGGCTTGGCTCTTTGCCACCCCTCCTGAGGACAGCAAGCAAGGAAAGTTGCTTGTCAAAGAGGATGAGCTTGCCATCGTGTGTTCAACTTTTCGTTCTGAGAAAACAGCTGTCTTCTTCATTCCTACCGTTCCTTGGATGAGAAGCAGGATCAGGCCCTTCTCCGGTGTACAGGCTCTTTGCATGGATTTGCAGATAATTCCAGGGCTCGCACGGACTTTCCTGACTAGAAGGGGGGGGGGTTTACCAAATCCTGCCACTCCCTCCACTGCCATGGAAGTTATGGACAAGTACGGGGATGGTGACGGTAGTCATTGCCTTGAAAGCCACTAAGCAAGCCCTGGACCCTGCTGCGACTGCAAGTCGGCTTAATCTTTTTTTTTTGCATAGGTTAGGTGCGTGGCTTGGTCGATACGATGAGAAAATGACAGAGCATTGTCATTGATGCATAAGGGCAACTTCGATTTAGGACAATGTGTATTTTAGATGGCAATGTGCACCTACATGATTCACATGAAGTGATTGTTCGAAGCTACATGTTACACTTCGACGGCCCTGCAAACTCGGATGCGTAAGCGGGACCACCGGGATTTTACCGGGACTGCCTGTGGTTGGTGCCGTTAGTCCGTTAGTGCACAGTGCAATTTGGATCAATAACATCAGATCGCAAGTTCCGCGGTCTTGGCAGACCCAGTGCCTTTCCCGTGAGAGCTGCTCAGGTGTCTGGCAGCCTCCCCCACCCCTTCCGGAAGGGCTGCTAACAAAAGATGTTTTCGCAAGCAGTTTGAAGGCTGTCCTGCTGTTCGCATCATGATGGCACTGCACGGAGATGGTGTGAGCTCCCGGCGACGTGTTCGGAGCAGGATGATCCCGTCAGCTCTTAGACGCTGAATTTGCATTGCTCAGTGGGAACATGCATTCATGCCCTGCGATATTCCGACATGGCAGAGAACTGACTTAAGAAGACTATCCACTGGGAGTGGATACAGATCCTATAGCCAAACCTCGAAAACATTCCCTGAAGTGCTTAGCGTGATGCTTGGGGTCCGGCATGGCTTCTAAGCCTAAGCCTCGTCTGCCGCCCGCCGCATTTGCGCGGCCACAATCGGACCTGGAGTCTTTGCTCTGTTTAGGTTTGGAGGTGGTTCAGGGTTCTTCACGTGCAGAGCCGTCCATCACAAAGTCTGAGTGTCTGATACGCTCAGAACATACACAGGCTAGCGGTGTTCAACCGGGAGGCTTGACTGGGTGTAGTGCAACGGATGAACCGCTTCGTGAGCGATTGCAGTGATATTCCTTGCCGAGCAACTGCTTCGGTACAGCTGCACAAAAGAGATGGTGATTTGGGCTCGTGGTGGAGACCGTGCCGGTCATTTGAGATGTCTGCGACAGCTGCAGCCAGAGACCGCACCTGCTGTCCAAGGATTTTTTCTCCGATGAAGAAGGCTGTTGCGCAGCGACCCTGGAGAAGAGACACAGCCCTTACACAGGTCATTTGCGACACCTGCCACTGTCACCAGGACACCGCATGCAGAAGCCGTGCCTGCCTCCAAACTGTGGCGGCTGCGCATACAGCTGGAGGAGATCTCCTTGGTCACGAGTGCGTTGCTTGCAGCAGGTGGTGTGCAGCTGCCATGTGACTGCAGGTTTGCTACCTGTCGCAATGGTCATCGAGATGTTTGAGGAACATGCCAGCAAGACGTCTTCGTTCAGGCTTCGCGCAGATCATTAAGCAACATGTGGCACGCTTGCAGATTCCCGGCCCTGCTCAGCTGGACGTCCATGACCTTGCCGATTGCCAGCTTCAGCATCCTGCCCTCCCTCGGAGTGCTCCTGGCCAAGGTGGGACGTGTCAAAGAGAAAGCAGCCAAGCGCCCAGTGAATTCAGCCGCCACAGGCAGCCAGCAGCGATAACTGCGGGCCAGCTCGACGCATCGTGGGCTGATTTTATCACATTCTTATTCTCGTGATTGACCTTTTTCTTGCCCTCCCAGCTTTCAGAAGATATCTCCAGCGCCAGGGCTGGTTGGTGCAGCTTTCGTGGTTTCCCTCTTCGTGACCATGCTTCTGCCGACGGTTGGGTCTCCTAGTGACGATGCCACGCTGGAGCCCAGGCAGCACTTAGTTAAGCCGTGCATCATGTGTATCATGTCGCCGGAACACAAGCAAGATACATAAATACTGCAGGCAAATGGGTCATTGTCGTTTGCCTTCTGAGATACGCACGACTGAAGGTGCGGAATTCATTGATGCTATGTGCAGTAGCGCTGGGCCTTTCTGGTGCAGCCGTACAGATTCTTGGCGCAGGGGATCACTGACAGGGATCACTGATGTTCCTGTTGCTTCTACAAGTAGATCTGGAAAGCTGTCGTAGCCAATCGCACCTTGACGAGAGGCGCTTTATTTTCCTGGCAGTTGTTTGCACTGAGTGCACTCGAAACAATCCTGTACTGCTGAGGTTGGTGCTGCTGTTCTGTTGCACGGAGGCCTTCCTGACGGCATCTGGAGATCATATGCGCAAGTACCATGAAACCTGAAGCTCAGGTGGTTGTGAGTTCCGCTCGACTTTGCCATGTGTTGGCGGTCTCTTGGTCGGCTTAGTTTACGGCTTGGGTTCGAAGGTGGTCTCACTGTACAGGAAGGGGCTTCAGGGAGACGGCGCACGGTGGAAAGGTTGCTGCCCTCATCCGGAGCTTTGGCGAGTTTCTGGGCTTGATTGTCGCCTCCGAACCTTGGGGTCACGGCCTCAATGGAACTTACTTCTCATCATACCAAGATGATATTGACATGTCTCATTGGATGTCAAGCTTCTAGGTCATGACTGACTTGCATGCTAAGCAGGCCACGACGGCTACTTCACAGCCTTCGTGTCAGAAAGCTGTCCAACGGGCCCGTGCTTGACACTGCGAGTGAGCAGCTTGCCCTACATAGCTGATCAGGTTGGAAGCGACATTCGCTCCAGTGTCATTCATCCCGATTTCTCGACTCCTGAGGCATGTCACTAGCTGTTCCATTCTTGCTCGTGGGCCTGTGTCTGTCTTTGTGACTTGGCCTTCTTCAAGCAATCCTTTCTTTGACTGCACCCTTCTTCTCAAGCTCTTGACCTATGCGTTGACTGGCTCACATGCTGCTGAAGTTCGAGCACGACACGGCAAGAGCAGAAGACGAAGCAAGGGAGCGTGAGATAGCTACCCAGGCTGGGAAGGTACGCCATCGTGCCTGTGGGCGATACCTCATCTTCACGCCAGAAGCAAGCAGGATAGAGATATAGAGAGATGCTCGTAGCCCTATATGGAGAGTACAACGAAGCTATTGTTGATCTTGCTAAAGGGCGGCCGATACGGGCCGGAACAGGACAAAGTGGCGAGTTCAGAGTGCAGGGGAGGGGGGGTTCAGACCCCGACTTCCCTCGCAAGCAAGCATGTAAGATTCTCGTAACATGCAATCGGTCCGAACGGCCTGGAGGGTCTGGGGCTTCTGCCCACAGTCTCTCGCGATTAAAACAGAAGATACAGAAGGCGTAAGGCAACAACCGACGATCAACTCAATTTGAGCCACGTGAGTCACGAGGACGAATGCCATGCCTCAGACTTAACTACCGTGACAAACTCTCGCATAGTTGTTGCAATGAGGAGTCTGCAAAAGACTGGTAAGGGTCCGCAGATGCACACGTGCAGTGAAGAGAGCATGGAACCATCGCGGTTGCCGGCCCTGCTGGCAGTTCCTGCACTTCGCGATGAGCAGCTAAAGTGGGGGGAGGACCCGATCTCCAGAATCGTTGCTGTGAGGTGCGTTCGCGTTGGCGGAGGGTTTCACGTGCACCATCGCGCACCCGCCTCTAATGTCGGACGCATGTGCACCAGCATCTGAAGACGGGGAAACAGGTTGAGGGAGGGAAGTTAAGCGGAAGCACTGTCCGTTATGTTCACAGCTGGTCCGGAAGATGTGCGAAAGTCTCAGGCGACTTCGAGGGGAAAAGAGGCGCTGGCGCCTGAAACGCGGCAAGACTCCCAAGGACCTTTGGAAGTTGACTTGCAATGACTTGAAATATGGATCACGATGTCGAGCCCCAAGGGGCCTGAACACTGGCAGGACAGCTCGCAACAGCCAGATGCTTCGCCACATGAGTCGGAGTCGAAGGCAGCTACGGGGCTCAAAGTGGTCGAGTCACAGACAGCGCGAACACAGAAGAGGTCTCAACACGACTAGCATCCCCATTCCCAGGCTCAGAACGATAATCCAGTGGCAGACCTCCTGCAGGACGTGCAGTATTCCAGTTGGTACTGGCTGTGACGACTAAGTCAGCGCTTAGACATGTAATTGCTTCACGATTCATTGAAATTCAGTGCAGGACCCGGGCGCTGTGGCTGCTCCAAGACAGCATTAGCCGTGTCTGATCGCGTCTGCTGTGTAGAAGCACGCATAGGGTGTGCAGGAACTGTCAAAACGACCCGAACTGGCTTGAGTGGTCCTGGGCCCCTCTCAGGCACTCCTCACGCTGCTTCTGTGTGGCGTGGCCAGCGAAGCCTCGTCCCAGCAGCAGGAGATCTTCCAAGCTTCAGCAGGCCGTGAATGAGTGTGCTCGTAAGTGCTCGGGTTTAGGGGTTTTGGCTTTCGGGTGCTCGTTGTTCATGTGCAGGGGTGCCTCATCGTGGCCTGGCCGCTGCGCGGCTGGCTGGGTCCCTGCTTGCGGCGTTGACTGCCGCTGGCTTATGCCTGGTGCACGTAGCGAATGTAGCGAGAACTGCAACTCCTTGCAAAGCTGCACATGAACCACGCAAAATTGCACAGCCGAGAATTGGCTGATGGCTGCCATCAAATACCCTCTTTCGTTCGATTTTGCTGTGATCCTGTGGAATTTTAAAAGACTGTCTGGTGTGAGAAACACCTGCCTTCAACACTGTCCTCGACCGACGCGATGCGCATGCCTTGCCTTGTAGGCGGCACAGCTTCTAGATTCGTCACTTTTTCTTATCAAAGTTGGGATGTGCTCTTTCTTATCATTCGCGCACCACGACCTACACGTTCCGCAACATCATAAGTTGCTGCCAAGGACTTGACAGTCTGGCCAGATTGCACGGGCTGTCGTGTGCGTGAGACTGCATTATGGCGAAGTGAGGTCTGTCGCCTTGTGCGCTGCCTCGGTGCCTTCGGGACTTGGCTGGTGGGCTACGCAAGTTCACAGTTGGACGTGGACACAAGACGAGATTCATCCCGGCATGACAGATGGGGGCCATGCTCCAGTCGGCGCTTCTACTGGTCTCGGCCGGGATGCAGGATGCAGGTGGCCGCTTGCTTCACTGCTTTTCTCTCGTAGTTCGGGTTCGCAGGCAGAAGGCATGTGAAATACGGTGTGCATGCATCACAGAGGCAGGGCATCGAAGCTCGCGTGGATCAGCGCTGGGGGATACATTCCCATCTTGCTCCACATCGTGCCCTACGTGGTGCCAGCCTCAGCGACACATGTGCAGAGAGCAGGCAGGCTGAACCGGATCGGTCGAGAAGGCGTGACTGGATTGGCTAGGGCAGGGGTTGTTGCTCAATTAACTTCGAGTTGATCGCTGCTAGTGTCTGCACGAGACACTTGTGGTTGTTTGTCCTTGCTATGACGGGAGTCAAGACTTGAGAACAGGCAGAGTCGTTCAAACTTGTGTGCAGCCGCAAGAGAGAGCATGCACCGCAGTGACCATGTCCGAAAACGTTCATCGTCGTCGTCGCAGCCAACTGCCTTTATACTGCGCTGATAGTCTTGGGTGCATTTCGTCTCTATGTAGGCTCTGCAAATCGAGGGCAAGTGCAAGAGGATCCGTACAGACTCTGCAGAGGTATATTTTGTGGGATGGGTGAAGTCGTGTCCCAAGCACCTTGTCCTAGCAACATGCCCGAGTCACTATCAGCTTGTGCGACAACGCCCTCATCCAACTATTTGGGCCAGCCACTGCTCGCACCAACAGGTTGTTCTGCGTCGATCGCGACTGCGGGGTTCTTCTGGAGCGCTTGCTTTGGCTTTGGTGGGTGCTGTGGCAGAGGAGCCGCAGTGTTTGTGCATCGTTGGTAGTTCGACGGCACTGACAAGCTTATGGCTTACGGTTGCAAAGCTAAGCCCCGAAGCTCACTGCGAGAGCTGCGAACATGCATACACGGTTTGAGGCAGCGCGAATTCTTTGGCGAGGGCCAGGCACAGTCTGTACTCGTTTGCTAGTGGCACGGTGCAGAGATTCACCATGTCGTTTGTAGGCCATCAGCTGCAGCTGCTTTTGGGCGCCGAGCCTGTAATTCTGGGCATTGGTGGAGCGGCAGGTGTGGCACGGGTAAGCTTCATCCACTCGCTGAGCCATCCTTGCCTGGACTGAGACGAGAGGAAAACATTCAGTATGGACCACGTGACCATTAAAGACTCCAGTGATGTAGGTGTTTGGGCTGCCGTCCTGTGCAGCCAAGCATCTCGGCTGTTCTCATACCGCTGTTCACCTTGTGTAGCATTTTCACACGTGACTGATTAACCACGACTAGGATCACTCTGCATGGTCACGTCTATAAGGGTCAGGATTTCTTTGCACCGCGTAAGGGCGCCAAACGGAGATTTTTTCGATGAGAATTTCTCTCTCGGCCCTGAGGCCATCGCTTGCGATCGTGATGGAGCATCTCGCGTCGTCGACTGTGCTTCCTCCCCATCGGCCTAGGAGTAGTATGCTCGGCCGGCAGTCCACCAAGTCACCAAGTAAAGGAAAGCAAACACTGTGGTCCGCGCAGTGACAGTTGCACAGGTGCCGAAAAGAGGCACAGTGCTCTCTGTACATAACGCTTGACTGAAGCGCGTGCTTCATTGCATTTGTCGTTTGGCCGTACAAAAAACCGCTTTCTCAGATGTATCTCTCCGGTATCCCTGAATATTCCGTTGTCTCTGCGTTATTCTGTGTTTGGCTGCTTTTGATCCGAGAACGTCGGTCTTACAAGGGTTCTGGCGTGTGCAGCCACACCGCGCAAGTTATCGCAAACAGTCAGCAGCAGCGCAGGTAGAAATGCACAGCCTCAAATCTGGGCTTCTGAATGCACGCAATGAGCAGCCAACCAGAAAGATAGATCAACTATATGTGTACCCCGAAGCTCTCGTGCACTGTCTTCTAAAAGCCCACGCTCCACTACTACGTAGCCATGGCGGGTACAGCCGGCATGGATATACTCAAGGACCCGGTGCAGTTCAATGACTCTGCGAGCATGTCGTTTCGACATGCTGGATCAAACGTCCGGCCTTGTTTTGTCCGGACTCCTGGGCTATGTCGGATGTGTGTACTGTCTAATTCCGACCCCGCGGTTTCAGGTTCGCAGAGCTGACTGTTTACGGTTTTCCTGTTTGTCGCAGCACAGTTTTGAACACTGCGATTTTTCAATCAAGAAAAATACAAGCCATGATAAGCACCACGCACGCACCCTGTTGACTGCAGCTGGCTCTCTGGCTCTTTGCTGAGCACCTGCAAGTGAGGGGTTGAGCACTGCTGCATTTCCTGAGACATGAAACGAGGAGGTTATGTCACATCTTCGAGACAGTCCACTCGTCAAGGTGAATCGGAAGCTGAAGGATCGAGGACGGCAGGATAGTTGCCCAGGCTGCGAGTCTTGAGATTTCAGGGACCGATAGATTCAAAATTCATGTCAACATTGGAGTGCTATTTTCAATTGGCTGCGAGAAGCTGGCGTGATCCGTGCATGAGACATTCAGCGGCCTACAGAGGAGGCAGGGCGACTGGCTTGGTGGACTGGTCTCTGCTGGAGAATGCGCCCTGGCCTGGCGACAAAAGACACTTCACATAGAGACTTCACAAAGCGGGGCCTGGCGACTAAGGTCCCAGCAGCCTGGATGCAAGCAGATCCTCAACAGTTTCCAGAGTCGTCTCTGAGCGCTAGTACTTTTTGTTCCTGCAGAGGCCCTCCAGGCACTCTTGGTCCGCTTGCAGCGCCGCTTCCCCCGTTGTGCGGCATTCTCAGGATGAGCTCCTGACGCGGACCTCGAGCTGGCTCAATCAAGATGTGCCGCGTCTGCATCCCAACTGAAGCACCGTGCGTGCGCTCAAGGAAAGTTGCGATGCGTGTGCACCTCTCATACGTTCTGCATGGCACTCGTGTTTCAAACTTGTCGTGTAAGAACGGTTCCAGCTCAGAGTGAGACATAATGTGTTGATCCGACACGTTAAGCAGAAGCCTTAGCTTTGCAGGCACCTCAGCAAGCAAGGCGTGCCGCTGGTGCGCTGCTGGGGCTCGCAGTGGCAGACTGGGTACCATGAAAGCAAGCGGTAGGGTCAGGTTCACCTTGAGTGGTCGAAGACCTCGGAGATTTTCGGAGTAAAGGTTCACATTACATGCGCGGCAAGAACATCACGGTATCGTTGTTAGTTGCAGTGTGCTTGCCGGGCAGAAAACAAAGTCCGATTGCGCATTCTCATGCGCATTCTCCATTGTATAGTCTTGGGTATTCGTCGGGTTTCATGAAAGACATCCGACCGTCTCAAGCCTTGGCTGGCCGTCTCCTGGCGTGAGTGGTCTCGATCTGACATGAGGCTGTATGGCACATGCTAAAAGCATGACCTCCGATACTGGCAAAGCTGAGTCAGGTCGGTGCTCCTCTCGAATTCTTGGAGGTGGGACGAGTATTCAACGCTTGGGGTTCGCAAGCTGGCCGTCGTATGGCGTCGTCGACTTTCTGAGAAGCAGATCCCGTTGGACCCACTCGTGCGAGACTTGAGACAGTCTGAGAGGTCTAGCTGGCTTGACAATGCCTCTCTTCAACCCGTGAGATGCAAGGTACTCGAAGCATTCGTAACATCCACGCTGTGGAATGCAAGCTGTAATGATACTTTGCACCGGGTGGCTTTGGACGCGAACAGGGGCTCTCCCCAGCTTAGACGTCATGTTATTTGGTGGCTTAGATTCTTAGATGACTGTGTAAGTATGCCAGGTACATGTACAGCAATGTCGATGTTCTGGCAGGGGTTGGTGGCAGTTGAACATTGGCCACTTTCCACAGCTACTATAATTGATATTGTTGTCAGTGTCAGCAAGGAACGGCATTACAATTCCAGACGTTTCCTCTGCGGTCAGAAGATGCAAACCAAGACGATGAATGGGAGTGACATGATGTGGCAAACGGCAGCAGCACAACTTGCAGTGTTTTTTCTCCAAGAGCGCCGGAGTTGAGCAAAATCGGACGAGGGTTCTACTGAAAGCCGTTTTAGGCATTTGGATGGGTGTCATGGTCGCAGCGTAGGTCACGGATGATCCCGGTGAGAGCCGCTGGGACCACGCCTCTTGCCGTGACATTCAGACGTTCATGGTGGCCAATGGCTGGTAGTAATGTTCGCTCGAATTGCACAGAGCATGATGGACTGAGCTCAGGATAGTTTCCATTGCCACAACCCCAACACCACAGCTTCTTGGTTGCTTTGCAGTGGCTTGTTGCGAACTTGCTCTGCCCTTCCGAATCCATCCACACACAGATTTTGCAATGCTTTGCAGTGACCCAGGAGATTGAGCGAGGCATCCTGAAGCCAGGGCAGTGGACAGATGACACTTCAATGGTGGCTTGCAGCAATGGAAATTTGAGGGTGGACAGTTCGCCCAGTGGTCTCTCTTAGAAGTCTTTTGACGCTCCAAACGCTAAGGCACTCTGCCTCGCTGACTCGCTGTGCATATGTGGACACCTGGATGGGAGTGATCTTCGGAAGAGATCCTTAGATGCATCAATCCCTTCAGCAAGCCCAGACTGTCTTGAGGTTTCTTGCGTCCCTTCCATCTCATACTTCCTCGCCTGATCGCCACCTACCCAGAACCTTGCCAATTCGCTCAGGATTTTGGTGCTGGCATGCGGAGGCTGCTGGGTCGCGATTATGCCGTTCCATGCTTACATGACGCATATAAATAACCAATATGATTACGCAAACAGAGTCAAAGAGTGCACTGCAGAAGCCTGCAAGACATATGCAAAGTCTGGTGCTTCGGCAACAAGCATCGAAGATGCCTGCTGGCTTCCCGACCTCTTTCAGATTCAGCACGTCGGAGTCGTGGGTCATGGTCTTTGATGTTTTCAGGGATTCTTGCTGTGTGCAGAAGCGGCTTGAGGCCATGAACACTCCCTGGCGACTTGATCCCGAACGGAAGAAGCGCACCAGCTTCGGTTTGGGATACAATATTGTCACCTGCCTGAAAAGGAAAGGGAGATGCTTGCACTCTATGTCGCTGGTTGGGCAGACGCCGGTAGACTAGTGCCAAAGCTTGAACTGATGTCCCATCGACTTTTGTGCAGCTGCAAGCAGTGTGCTGAGGCCAAGAGCTTGATTGCACTCTATCCAGACGAGCCCATTGACCCTGAGTACCTGAATCCTGGCAGTAGTGGCCTGGCCTGCAAGCAGATTTCCATTGACTTCCAGAGACTGACGTGTGGTTCAAGAGGGTCTTACTTACTCACCCCCTTCGTCGTGCAGAAGGCTTAAGTTTTTGTGTCGGCACAGGTGATTCCGGCAACGGCGGGCTCATGCGACTAGCTCCGGTGCCTCGACGCTGGCTACTCTTTCAAGGGCCGAGCTCCAGTGACGAACAGATGTTGTCACGTGCTGGCATGTGCTGAGATTGCTGAACGACGCCGAATGTATTTATGTCATAGTGCACTCAGTGGTACGAGGTCGAAGGCTCAGGACGGGTGGGATGTGCTGCAGGTTCCGATCTTTTACAATCGGCCTGAGCAACTGGAGGACCTGCTCCAAGCATGTGCGACTGATCGGAAGGCTTCGGCCTTCGGCCCCATTTCGAAGTTATCTGTGTCTGTGTCTTGCTGCGCTACATCCTTAGCCTTCCCTTCATGAAAGCCAGGGATTCGACAGAAATGTCTTGTGCTCTGGAGGAGGCCCTGGATGCTGCCGCGAGGTCAAGTCTTGCAACACATCCAGGCCTGTTGCTACCGATAGTCGGTGTCTTTCACTTCTTGTGCTGTTAAGGTTAGGAGGGAGACGCCTGCAGAGTTTGGCACCGACAGCCCACCAGGTATTTTGGCAACTGAGACAGCTCGCTACCTAGCTTTCCTGGTGCACAGCGCCATCAACCGGCAGGCCCAGTTCACGGCATGCCAGCAGGGTCAACAAAAGACAGGAACTGGCAAATGCAAGTGTCAAAGATGCAGTCGAAGATCTGTGTGTCAAGTCTGGGTGAGCATTTCAGTTTTCAGGGTGCCCTCAAGATACCTCAAGAACGCTACCTGCACATCGTGCCGACCTGGTTTCGTCAACCTGTTGACTATCCTGGATATCCTGCTTATTCCTGCTTCACTTGTAGCAAAGAACGAACACAGGACAGATGGAGCAAGGAAGGTCCTTGGTTGGGCCGTTGAAGCCACCAGAGCACTGACGGGTGTGGGTTGATGGCCACGACTTCAGAGAGGCCTCGGCTGCCTGACACACTGCCTGACGCCAGGAAGAGATGTCGGCAAGAGAGTTCTTCATCCAGTAGCCTGGCTCGGAGACACAGTGGACACAGTGTCATGAACCTCCTATGTCCGTGGTGAGCATAAGAGACCTCGAAGGCAAAGCGCCGTGTATGCAGCACGCTTGGGTGAGCGTTTGGCGGAGGCACACTGCACGCGGCGGCGCGAACTTTGTCTAGCACCTTGCGCAACCATCTCTTAGCCGTCCTGTCCAGGATCCTGAGTGTCAGAGCTCTGCGGACTTGCGCGAGATTCAAGCCCTCGCAACTTCCAACAAGGCACTGAAGCTGAGCTGGGAGTAAAGCGGCTGCAATTGTGCAGGGTTAAACCTTGAAGTTGAATAAGTTCGTTCGTGATGCTGCAGCTTCTTGAGCTTCCCTGATTCTGTTACCATTGCCTCCAACGTCCGAGCTGCCGATCGTGGTGTTTTGGTACTGACTCGTCAACTACAGCCTTCCAGCGAGGGGATTTTGTGCATTTGCCTGCACGCCTCTTGGCCCCGGGGCAGCATTCGCTGCTCTCCGGACACTCGCTTTGCCTGTTCCGGACGGTTGCCTGTCAGCTGATTATTTCGAGGGCCCGTTTTGTGTTATCGGCAAGGACATAGGCAAAGTTGTGTTGCACTGAAGCGCTGAGACAGCTTGTGAGGAGGGTCCAATGGAGAGATGCTGGAACTGGCAAGAGCCATCACTGGAGCTTCTGCAAACATTCAGGCGCAAGTACAGGGGCAAGGAGCCCTTAAGGCTCACCTTTTCTGAGACCTTCCACCTTCCAGTTTGTCACTGATGGGTTGGGTTCCTGGCGGCCTCTGCAGTTTCTGGCAGGGCCCGGGGGGAGAAATACAACGGGCATCCGGTCAGCCGCTGCTACGCTGGAAGCAACTTGGCTGGACACGCCACGACGAGCCGCTTCAAAGGGTTTCTTTCAGGGCACATTGTAAGCCGAGGCTACTGCATGGACGGCTTGGAAACTTGACTGCAAGCCGCCCGAATTGTTGAAGGACACCCTGAAGGCATTCTGCCAACATTTTGTTGCATTCCAATTTGTTTCGGATCAGGCCATGGCCCTCCATGCCGTCGCGAGCACCGAGTACGCTGGCAAAAGCAAGTTGCAGCAAAGCAGTCGCGTACACCGGTCTTGAATCGGGGCTACGTGACAAGGTGTAGCGTATCCAAGCCCCAAAATTGGGGATTCACCATCTTGCGATGCAGTGATGCCTCATGGGTCGTGATCCGTACTGTACTGTACTCTACTGTACTGTACAGGGTCGGGGAGTGCAGCCGCGCTCACGGCTCTCGAAATTATCTCAGGGATTTCAGGCCGTAGCTAGGACACACATGGAATACACACACAAAAACAACCTGCACACGGGCATTTTGTGGTTGCCCGAATATCCCAGAATTATCTTGTCGTGACTCGATTGCGCCTAGGAGCTTCCACCGAGCCATAGAAAAAGCCGGGACCTTGGTCGAGCTGAGACTCTGTGCGATTGCAGTGATCTTTGTCGAATCTTGCAGATGCGCCTTACCAGTACCATCAAAGTGAGAACCTGGACTGTTGCTATGGCCTCTTCATGCACGCCGGGTTGGGCTGGCATCGATCGGCCATCGTCATTAGATCGGCAGGCATTGCTTCAGCCAATCTTCGTAGCATGACTTTGCAGTGAAGTCTTGAAGCAGTGATGCCCAGTACACACGGTCGGCAGCTATGGACTTACAGACGGATGTTGAGTATTTCGTGCAGTGCGTTTGCCTGATAAATACCTTCCTGCCCAGCACTGCTGTGGCCTGTACTGCAACGTGGCTGCCCAACCATGGCCTGACAAGTTCTCTCAGAGGCTGTAAACTTCCTGGGCGATGCGGATACAGTGGGTGCGATAGCAGGCTGTGGCTTGCTTCGAGAGGGATACAGAGCGGAGGGTGCAGTCCGAACAACCAGCTCGACGAACTCACAGATGCAACAGCAAGTCAGTTCTTGAACGGCGCCTGTGCTGTTAGGACAGCTCGCTGGTGCCTTCTATGGTCTTGAGGGCATCGATCCCCGTCGCTAGCTCAGCGAAGCTTTGCCCGCGAAGCACTGCTGCAGCGTGTCTTTCTGCTGCACATGCGTTTTTTTGCTTCTCACTGGATATACGCCTTCAGGATCCCGAGTTAGACTAGAAAAACAATTTTCATCACACTATGCCTCCTAGCAAGCACGTTGTGCGTGCTGGCCCGATGCCAGCACGGGTCATACGGCTACTCAGTGGGTGCACACTCCACTCGACAAGCAGCAGTGACACGTTTTCACAGAGATGTTCCCCTCTCCGAGGATGAACTTCAGATGCACGTGACCGTCCCCGTTTTTTGTTTCGGCCGCAATTTATCCCATGCCCACACTGCACATCCTGCAACCCGAGACCTCAAGCGAATGTCATAATGTACGAGCTTCCAACCAGGTCGTGGACAAGCAGCCTTAATTCTTAAACCCCTACAAAACGCATCCAATCCACGCTGACACCCTCACAAGTTGAAACTCGCAGCCTACTCAGTTCACACGTTAGTGTTACACCTTAGTGTCATGGAGAAGCGGAGACAGGGCTCACGAGTTCATTGTACTGTAGACATGTAAGAGGTGCGAACATATACTGAGACCCAGAAATAGGAGCGGAGAAGAGAAAACACAAAGGACATTAAATTGAATGGCTTCCCACGAAATGCCGCAGAGACAGTTTCCGTTTCCGTGTGGCAATTCAAGCTATTTTTGGGCAAAGGTTGCCGATGAAAGCTTCCCTGTGTCTTTATACTACTTGTATGTGTTTCAACACGGAGGAAATGCTATATACGAAGCGAGCCGTCGGTTGGGTAACCTAGAGTTCTGAACTTCCGTTTGAATTGCATTCCGTGCTTGCTCGGGTAGCCTAAGGTTCCGACTCAGGTTCTTGCGTGGAACTCAATCTGTACCTTGCGCCAAAATCGCCGCGGTATCTATCAGGCTTGCCTCGCTGCCAACCCTCCCACGGAGTCAGTCTGATAGCCTGACGACGGAGCGACGATGACACGGCGACGTGGAACGAGGATGTGAAAATGGTGCAACGACGATGCGACGATGCTAGTCACGCTTGGAATGGTGGTTCAGGAAGGAGGGCGAATATTTTGGCAGGCTAGCCAAGGATCCTGAAGCTACAACAGCCTCCAAAAGTAAAGACCGAAATTTCCAAAACGCGAAAATGCAAGGCCCCAAAGACTGCACAAGCCAAACCATAGAAAGTCTAGGACCAAGGTGTCTTCTTTGCTTGTCTCAGAATGTGCATGATTTTCCTGTAGGTTGTTGTACATGGTTTTGGTGTTTACTTGTCCCCGAGTTCTCGTTTCTCCTATGTTTATCCCATTGGTCATCCTATTTCCCTGGTATTTGTACTTTTTTTCTGAGCCCTGTTTATTTATAGTGTTTTCCTGTTTGTTAGTACTTATTTGTTGTTTTTCCTATTCCGTAAACTTCAAGGTTCTTGTTGGTTTTCCAACAAGCATCCTGTGTTGTTGAGTTTGGACTAGAAGTTGCACAAGGTATGAACATGACTCTGGCTATCGACCCGACGAAACCCTTGGCAGCAAGTGCGAGGCTACACTGCCGCCCTTCACAAGTGGGCAGTGGTCTCAGCATCATGCACTGAATCTTGCGAAGCTTCTAGAAAATCTTGGCAAACCGTTGTGAGGACAGAGGCGAAATCCTATGCAGAGCTGTCCTGTGCTACTTGCTTGGAGAAGAAAAGGCTTTGGCTCTCTGCCCATAGGCAGAGACCACTCGCTCCCCGGACTTCACCATCTTTTCCACAACCAGATCGGTCTCCGAGTGCTCGGTGAAGATCTCCAAATCAACACTGCCTTCCCTCCGATGACCACTGAGATGCGTATGTTCGAAGGTGTGTAGCACATGGAAGAGGCAGGGGCGCAGAGCCTCTGAGCACTTCGCGTACAGTGTACGATGGTACAGACTGCGGGCAACTCTGTGGCTCCGTAGCAGCCATCTGCAGCATGAAAACATACCACTCGGGATGTTGGCCTTTGCAAGCAGACTGAGCGGTTTGCAGTCGGCCTGAGGCGAACCTGCTGTTTCTCTGTAATGCTGTCTGCAAAAAGACTCGGCTGCCTTGCCTGTTGTAGTCAGCCTAGAGTTCAGAGGCTGCTGTAGGCCGCTGTGCATTTCTGGCAAAGTGACCCAAGGCGGATTGTCGCAAGCACTGCAAACAAGTCGTGCCTTCAGACTTCAGCCCTCAGACCTGCCACACCCTGCCAGCTTGCGCTGCAGAAGGTGGAGCATACATGGCAAATGAGAGAGCAACGGCGAATGGGTTGAGCAGTCGTAGAACAAGTCTGGCAGCGGGCGAGCAACTCTGACATTGCCTGCGAGTCAGTGTAGGTGCTTTGAGCTACCTACCTGCATCTGCTTCGATGCAGGTGGTGGGGTCATGGGAGCACTACTGTGCTCAGACTGCAGCCATGCGCCAGAGGCGAGTTGCCTTGCCGGTACTGGGTATGTCTAAAGCTTCAAAAGATGGACTATGTAAGCAAGACCGCACGGTGTGTCAATCTCCGTGGGCACGAATTCGGTGTCTGCGCCCTGCAGGATGTGCCGGCTCAGAACTTGTCCGATTCCAAAGGCCGGCTGGCATTCCCAGTCAGCTCTTGCATGATATGGCCTTGGACCTTCCTTTTCGTGCAGGTTTCCAGCATTCATCATTGACTCAACAGCTGGACGTGTTCGGTTGTTGTTGTGATGGCTAACTTTGCTTTGCCGCAGGGGCAAGTCGGCCGGTTGCTCCATCGGGTGCCTCCAAATTCCTGACGCAGGCGTGAGAGGGCGAATCACAAGTGTTCCTTCAGCTCCGTGTAGCCCTGCACATGCTGTCATTGATGGCAACCGGGGACTGGGTGGAGTGGTGATTTGGCAACATCAGCATCGTGACATAGTGTTAAACCAGAAAGTGACTCGTGAAGCCAATCGGCAGTGGGGTGAAGGTGAAGCTGTTCCAGCGGTTGCCTGAATCAGAGCTGCTCGTTTGCACATGCGTGTAGCGGCATGTTTGACATGGTCAGCTCTCGACAAACGAAAGATTGTTCAAGATGTTGAGAAGCTTTATGTCATGCAATGGGGTGGATGTACAGGTGTAAAGGCCTGAGAATGTGCACCTGAGGCTGCCCACCTTAGCGATGGTGTGCGAGCCGAAGACGTTCCGCTCTGGTGACAAAGTGCCTATCACATTCTGGTAGAGTTAATTACCAAGGTTTGTAACAATGTTCCAATGAGCTCGTGGCAGTCCGCCTAGATTACTCAAGCGAAGGTGATCACTGAAGGGGACGTCGGAGATGCTTTCTACATAATCCGCTCCGGTGATGCCTCTTGCCCATACAGCCAACACTGTTGTTGCTACTATGCGGTTGTGACACGCAAAGGGACGGAGAAAAGGAGGAGAGAGGACGCTTGTCGTAGCTCCTCAAAGGACACAAAGAGAGGCAGTGAAGGACAACAGGGGGCGTGGCTCCACACAGCGAGGCTTGCCCAGTGAAGGAGAGTGGAGGTCCGCAGAAGCCTTGGGGAAACCATCAGTGCAAACTCTGAAGCGCCCAAAGCCGACGCCGATTTTGTGTGTACTCAGCCGTGCGATGCGACTATTGAGCTCGTGAGTGTGGTGGGCCTCTCGGCTACTCCAAACTGTGTCGTAGCAGTGCTCTCGAGTGTTCGTGGGCATCCCTCGGACCTCGGAGTGCCTACAACAGCGCTGATCAGCAAAATGACAAGCCTTCTAAATAAAGTATACTACCAAAAGGCAACAGTGAGCAGCATGCTGGGCCGTGAGTTTGTGAGACTTGCAACATCACTTGTGTGTGGGCGTGTAGTCGGCTTGCGTGGCATGTTTCTGTAGTGGGGGCTTGTCTACCCTTGCTTTAAAGGTTTCAATTGCTAGCTCATGACTCTTGATCATGTTGCAAAGCCACGGCTTGCAACGCCCAGGCATCTGTTGCAGTTGGTGGTTCGGAGGTGGCAGTTCTCAAGCAAGGCGGCACGGCATCAAGCCCACCCGAGCTGTCACAAGTGTCTTCGATGTGCAAGTGTAGCCACAAGGCAAAACACAGCTTGCAGCAAAGCCGCCCGCCTTTGGTGTCGTCGCTGACAATAACTAGGTTTTACTCATGAGCATGAGTTAACATGAGTGCATGGGAGGAATCTGCTTCGGAAGTATCAGCCAGAGCAAGAGGGCAAGCATTCCTAGCCTTGGGGCTCGTGACGCATTGTGGAGCATTACCCGGGAAGTGAGTGGTGCTGAGAAGCTTCCTGTCTACTGCTGCGCTGCATGCTGGAGGCGACTACTTTGGTGAGAATGCATTGCTTCGGGACGAGCCAAGAGCAGCATCAATAGTTGCCAAGTCGGAGCTGCAGACATTCGTGCTTCTTGTCTGAACCTGAAGCGTATGGAGACAAGACTAGCGCAGACAGATCGTCTTGCAATGGCCAACTCAGAGCAGCAGCTAGCTGCACATGGTATTCGTCTGAGCCTCGCAATTGGCAATGCACCAGCCTTGTGACTGCTGTTCGTTGGCACGTTTGGGCATTGGGGCTTATCCATCTACAACCCCCCTGTTACAGAGAAAGAGTCGAGCAGCTTGGATCGGCTGTTTATAGTACATTGCATAAAATGAGAATTATGGCCCACCTCGTGCGAAGCTTGGCACATGCGTGAATCAGCTAGCATGTGACCGTTTCGAGAGCTGCGTGTCGTACTGCGGAGAAACGTCGACACCGCCAAACAGGCCATGTTTACCTGAAAGAGGTAGCAACAAGAGACATTTGCGAAGTTTGACAGATTCCCGGCTCTAGGAATCCGAACCGCATCATCAGCTTGGCTTCAGTTCCATCGCCCCCCCGGCTCCTGCGGAATGAAGGGCTGCAGACCTACAGGAATCTACGGGAGCGAGAACAAGAAAACTCTGTAAGTTTTGCCGGAGGGAGGAGTGGCGCAGCTGAGCCCCCGAAAAGAAGAAGCACAAGCACCTTCCAAAAATGGCATGATTGAACGAGGACGAGGGATCCAGACACAACCAAACATAACCTTCTGCTTGCACCATGACCAAGATGTGTGACCAATGCAAGCTTCAGGCTAACTTACAAAACCTGCTACAGTACTGCTCATCAAGAGCAGACCCTCAAAACAACTGCCGGATGACAAGTTTCGTTGCCACCCCTGCAAGGAAACGGGCAAACTGCTACCGACAGATGTAAGTCTTATCAGAACCCTGCCAGTTCTTCCAACAATGCAGTGACGCAGGTTGGACCAAATGGAGGCAATCCCAAGAAGTGTTCACCAACTATACAAGGGTCTCGAGTGCGTCAAAAAGTTTGCCTGTTGAGCATCTTGACAACATGCAGACGTACAAGCGAAACTGACACCAAGAGACGCAGAGGAGACTTACAAGCATCCATACACGGCTGCCGAAGCCACGCGTTGTTTTTTGAGGGGGGTAAGCCGTACTTGTCACGTTCGGTTGCATGTCCCAAGCAATGTATGTTGACAAGACTCAGGATTTCACGGGAGAAGTTCGAGGCCATGATGTTTGCTGGTTGTGGACTGTTGCACATAGTGTTCGGAGACCCAGATCCCGTAATTGCAAGACAAAGGTCTGACCCAACATTACATGAAGGTCTTGGGGGCTGAAGTAATCGCAAAGCTCTTGAATACGTACGATAAGGATGCGCTGTGGCAGACCCGCTTGAGAGCTTCCCCTGCACTTGTTCCGCTCTTGTGATTCGCGTCATTGACGGCAGCATATATGTCGCAGGAATTGTGATATGCCATTGCCACAAGCAGTTGATGTGTCAGGAGATGGGCCTCAGAGAAAAGCTTGAGTTCCCACAGCGCAAGGCAAGCTGGATCTCACTCTGAGACCTGCGGGGCTGAATTCGATGCAGTTTGAAGGCAAAGTTGGTCCCCTCTGTACAGCACAACTGAGCACCTGCTGGTGGATTGTATTTCGTGTGACCCTATCAGCAGAGCCTGGCCAGGCTGTGGCTGGTGGGGCCATCAAGCAGTTGGAAGCATCTTTCCCAGCCTCTGCTTGTGGATTCCATGTCTCAGGTGATTGTATGCTGCCGCGGCTCGCAGTGAAATGCATAATGCGGTATGTCACACGAATCGCCTCACAGTGCGCTGCCTCTCAGGTCAAGCCGCCCAGCCCAAAGACGGCCGAAGAGCCTTCGGCCTCGTTGTCTGACCACGCTTGCAACACACGTCGATTGTACTTGCTGCTTAGCCCCACCGCGCCGGAATAGAATCTGGCAGCATGCTTGAAACAACATCAAACAACACCAAATACGGGCAATCCTAGGGCTGCAAGATTTCCTTGAGAGATCTTGAGAGGCTAGCAATTCCAGCGGGCTTCCGCCATCCCAGGAGCGGAAATTGATGATTCAGGTTCTCAAGAGCAATCAGAACCTGACACATGTCAGCAGAAAGACAGTTAGCTTATGGTTCCAGGTGTTAGGTACGTTACGAGTCATGACGGCAGCACTGTCTCAGCGCTGCAAGCGCTTGTGACCTGCAGGTGTCGTCGAGGAATTGCTTTTTCCTCTTGACAGCTGTAAATTCTTGTTTTCCATGGCACGGCTTCTTGTTGCTCTGTGTCTTGTGAGGTCAAGCTGTGTATCACTTACGGATAAGCAAGTCGCCGTGCTGGTCGATGCTGCTTGGAACCTCGGCGGCTATGAACACCAGAGCATGCAACAAGTTGGGGTTCGAGAATTCGAGGGTGAGTGGCCACGGTCTTTCTGCCACTCAGGAAAGAAAAAGTTTCCATTGGAAAGGAACTCATACAGGACACGGGAGATGCTGTGCAGCTAGGATATTTCTTGTCCAGAGCCCGCCTCTGCAAACTAGGTTACTGCGTTCCACATTGTTGAGCTTGCAAAGACCGGACAAACTGGAGACTGACGGCCAACTTTGCTTCGCTGACCGAGCTGGTCAGATTCGGAGTACCCGACACGACACGCCCATCAAAAAAGCGAGAGACTTTCAACGGCCTTGACGTAGATAAGAACAAGCGAGCTTTGCATGACAGTCCAAAGGTCACCACTTTGCGAACTATGTCCAACATGTGCCAACTGAAACTTTCCTGATGGCTGCAGCTTGCTGGAGTTGCCATTGACAGGAGGGTGATCTCAGCGCCGATTATTTTTACATTGCTACTTGGCGGGTGTCCGTTGCGACTTTTTGTACATCTGCGAGCCTGTGCCGTGCCTTTAAGTAAGGTTCAGAGCGGAAAGTTCTCCATTTCCATGGGGCAAAATGAGACCCAAGCCAAGAGCACCAACGCAGCGCAGGCCGTTCAGACATATCGCGAAAGCTCTTCCGAGCTTGAGCTTTGTGACACTCACGGTGGCGCCTCCATGAAAAAGCGTAGGTAGGACGGCCACCTCATGGGGGATCACCAAAGGATCCGAAAAGGGATCGAAAGTAACTCCTGTGCCATGGCACGGGCTCGCTTGCTTGATCTTTTTTGGGATTCCTCTTTGGGATCTTCCGGACCTTGAGCCCAGGGCACTGGCGGCAAAATGCAACCCAAATTCAGATAGGTCAGGACGGATCATGGAACGAGTCGGGTGCACGCATGCTGCCACCATGCAAGAGTGTCGACCATCTGATAACCTTACGTCTTGTGGGATGGAGGTGCCGTTCAGGCGGTCGCGAGAGAAACATGTTACTGTCGATGAGCTTTTCTTTTGGAATCTGAGCCTGCCCAGTCATGCCCAGTTTAAACGAATGTCGAAGGCGGCGGCGCAGAATTTGGGGCTAGTGTCGGCTGGCGGCAGCTTTGGCGAGCAACTGGGCTGTTTTTGACTTCGGTGGGATGTTTCATATTCATGGCTTAGCAACGGACTTTTGCGTCCGCGGCAGGGAACAGACCCAGAAACTGGACCAGTCGCTAGCCGTGGCACTCATAAGTCTCATACGATGCAACGTGCTGGAAGCAGAACCATGGCGAGTACCTAGTCGCTTCACCGGAGATCCGGTTCTTAGCCGCGGTCCAAGTCGCCAGTGCCGATGCAGACGGCAAAATCGCCAGACAGCTCCCCCCCGACACCTCCGCTCCATGTGAAGCCTTGGGAATTTTGTTCGCCGCCTCGCGGGCTTGACGTGAGCGCCAGGGGCAGGCCGCCGCTGCAAATGCGGAGACTTGATGATAGAAAAGAGGGACTCCAACTGGTCAGATCAGCCGCCCAGCCAGACTTCCTTCACCTGACCGCTCTTCGCGATCTATGTGGATGACTCTAGATTTCTCCTTGGCGCAACGCGTTCAGAGTGTGGGCACCTGCATCGCACGAAAGGCGCCTGTTCTCACGAGGCTGGCGTTGCTGTACTTCGCACCGCGAGCTGCCTCGGTTCGGGCAGTCCAGGACTCGGTGGCCACTTGGTATATTTTTTATACAGTGTGTATTCAGTACTGTGCTGATTTGCGTTGGGGCTTGATGCGATGATGGTTGACAGCGCCATGGTGATTGCTTTGGCGGTATCAGCGCCAGATGATGCACACTGTGCGAACGGGCAAGCTGCAGGACCTCGCTTCCCACACATGTCAAACTTTTAATCTGGCTCGAATCCGACGGGCTTTCACCGCAACCAGGCACAATTCCTGCATTTGTCCTTGACATTGTTGATCTTGATCCCACTCGGCCTAAACTGAGCTTTTAGGTGTCGATAATCGAGGACGTGTCACTGGGGTTTCTTGCGGTTTCAGCTGCTTCGGATTTGGTTGAAGCTGTGCCGTACCAGGGGTCTATCTTGGCAAATGCATGTCAGTGGCAATTCGAGTGGGTTCATGAGCCTTGGAAGGAGGAGCGCCGAACCCATGACCTTACGAGTCAGTTCAGGTCTGGGTCATCGACAGGAAGACCTTCAAGGACACACTGGCAAAGTCTGCGGATGACATGGTCAAGGACAGAACTAGCAACTAGCGAATCTTCAAGCAGACATGGCTTACACCGCGCTGAGAAGAATGCATCTCTGCTGATGCACGCAGGAGTATATTGCATACCTGGATAAGGAGACTTGACAGCGGTTGATCTGTAGCATGCCACATGCAAACTGCATATGAAACAGCTCCCTCGTGTTTTCTTCCGCTTGTCCTCCAAGGTTCAGGTGCTCGCGAAGCTGAAACAAGACGAAAAAGAAGCAGTCGCGCATCTTGCTACCAAAAGCACATCAGGCGATCTTTTTTCCTGTGCAGCTTCCTCTGGGTAGGCAGCCGCAGCTTGCACTCGGATGGGCTTGCCAGCTAGGCTGTTAAGCTGATTGCTGGACGATGCAGAAGAGGTGTCGTACTCCTGAGGAAAGCCCTGACAGAGATGTCGTTTTCAAAGAACGAGGAGCCTGCTTGAAGATTTGCCATCGGGAAGGGTTGCTGACTGTAGGCCACCACGGAGGATGCCAGGAATCAAGGCTGAACCCGCAGAAGTGCAGGACGTCTTTCAGCAGGGCGAGGCCGGCGACGCATTCTACATCTTGATCGAGGGCGAGGCCTCTCCGCCTTTCTCTGCCTCGCAATCGTGAGACCGCACAATGTGAAGTCTCGATAGCTGGGCAGGTGTCGGTCATCAAGGATGGCGCCGAACAAACTCGCCTCAAAGCATCTGGCAAGGAGGCTGGCACATTGAATCCATGCTCTTAATAGGCAGGTAGGACGTAAAGCCACCGAGGCAGTAGAGTAAGTCCTTCGGCAAGCAAGAGCTCCCGTGATGAAGTTTTCGCTGCGAAACAGCATGGCCGAAGACACGAGGGGCAGGTGTAGGGATTTGCTCCGAGACTTTTAATGGCTCGAGCCGTACCATCGAAAGCAAAGGAAAAAGTAGCCCTGTGCCGTCCTGAGGGCAGGGTGCGAAGTTACGGACTGAGGAAGTACCCAACCCGTGTGCACAGGCTCCTATGTTTGGCGAGCGAGCATTGCTCACCAAGGACTTCCCGACACAAGCACAAGCAAGCACGCTTGCGTTGGTTCTGTTTTGATGGACTCAAACTGGACAAACTGACACGAGGTTGAACACGGGTTGATGAGCACTCGCAGTGATCACTGCAGCAGTTGTCGAATCGAGGAGCCTCGAATTGCAACTATTTCCGTCACCTCTGATGCAGCGAAGGCCAGTGAAATGTCAACCCTGCCAGCACATGCAAGCACATGCAGTGGTTGAAGCAGCATGGAGCAGCAACGCATGTGAATTCATTGTTGTTGCCGACTTGTTTGGGTGTCTGAGGGCACGGGCTGGCTCTGCTGTCCATAATTTTGTCGAGCGATCCGAATGCAAAAATGCTGCACCTTGCTTTCCTACAGCACCTGCCACGACGTTGGCATGCTCGATACGATTCGGAGACTTAGAGACCTAGAGCCTTCGGAGCATTAGTGGTTGTCCTTCAAAATATTCAATAATGACGAGGCCCGAAGAAAGCGCCAAAGCCGTTTAGGAGTTTATTTTGCAGTGGTTTGGAGTCGAGCTCACAGGTGTCGGGCTTGGTAGGAATTCCAGGCCCTGGTCATGGACAAGGCCACCTTCGACATGATCCTCGGGCCTCTCGAGCAGCTCAACAAGCGTGGAAAGGAGCCGGGAAGTGCAGAGAAGGGCGAAGATGCGCCAAGCAACGTTGCACCCGGAAGGATGCTCCCAGCGCGGTGAAGCAGCCGAGCGCGATTAGTTCAGGCCGTCTGGCGCAAATGCATTTTCTCGTTCTCTAGAGGACTGCACAAACACCGGGATCCTCCCTGCTTAAGATGGAGGGTTTGGTTGCTGGGTCCATGTGCCCGCATCTCACGGCCATGGGATTCGTTGTCATGGACTGCTGGAACCCCAAATGCCCCAAAATGCCAGGAACGCAAAAGCGGTTCGGCAACATCGAGAGGACAGACTTGAAATGCCACTGCAAGCACGGCTTGGCAGTATAGGCCCTCTCTGTACCAGGAAGCACCTGAAGCAGCTGGGACTTCTTGGATGTGGTGGTTTCGGAGCTGTGGAACTCGTAGAACATGCAGCTTGGCAGCACGTTAGAGGAGAAGCATGGCCCCATCACGGACTGTGCCGACATCAAATTGCAGTTGCACATGGTTTGCTCAAAGCAGAACTTGCTTGAGAAATGGACAAACTGAGTGCGTTGTGTATTGTTGCAGTGGCACTTTCCGTCGGCCATTGGCTGAGGTGTCGACTGGCGAGACATATGCCCTAAAGGCACTTAGCCCTGACCTGAGACCTGTCGAATCCAATACTGTGGAGAGAGGGAGACCGAGAGAGGGAAATGCCTTTTTTCACATCTACCAGTAGTAGTAAGACGGAACATGTACACAATGAAGAGAGACAGGGCGAGGGACAGTCAGTGAGTGAGTGGATGAGTGCATGGATTTATTGAGTGAGTGAGTGAGTGAGTCAAACAGTTTTGCACTAGCAGTGGCAGTAGCAGGAGCAGCTCGCAGACGCAGCTCGCCGTCGCGGTTCGTCGTCGTCGTAGTAGTCGCCGTGGTAGTCGTAGTAGTAGCAGTAGTGAGGTCGTAGAAGTGTCGTAGAAGAAGAAGTAGTAGGAGTAACAGTAGAGGTAGTAGTAGTCGTCGTGGGTCGTCGTGGGTCGTCGTCGTAGTAGTAGTAGTAGTAGTAGTGGTAGTAGTAGTAGTAGTAGTAGTAGTAGTAATTATTATTATTATTATTATTAGTAGTAGTAGTAGTAGGCGTTTGGCTGTCAGGTGCGTGATTGCACGTTGCAGGAGTTTTTTGTAGGGTCGACCCCGACCACACCGCCTTATCCTAAAGGGATAAGATGGCCACCGAGCGCGATATCATGCAGGACCCTGCCGTTCGCGCCTTTCAGGAGCAAAGGGCAGTCGTTGCGAACCCAGCTTCGCAAACAGTGCAGGCTATGTTCTGGTCGGAGAGAGCCCGGGGCAAGCGCGGACCGCCCACGCCGGTGGCCTCCAGTTTGGTTACACCGCAGGAGGATGTGCCGGCCTTTGACCACACCGCGCCCACGCTGGTGCAACCGTGGTTATTGGAGGACGCGTCAGCAGCCCAGGTTACAGCTGGAACTTTTGGGGTGCAGGTCCAGAACCCCCAGGAGATGGAGGCGTGGCTCAACAGGCCAGTGAGTACAACGCGCGAGGTCTTTAGCATCGTCAGGAACTACCACAAAGCAGTTATTAGACCAGAGCTATACCATATGGTATTACAACTGGAGTCTGCATTGACCAAGGTACACGATGATGTTTTTAAGGCGAAAGAAGAGCTGGCATGGATGGCGGGAGAGAACAGGCAGCTTCAGAAGCACGCTGCCGGAACACAACTCGTTACATCTGGCTGGCCGAATGGTTTGAGCCCAGCCCAAAGGGAGTTCATGCTATCTTGGATGCTGCAGCAGGTGCCAAAGATTCGCACATTTCTGGAAGCGCGCGGGCACCTCACAGACCACAACGCCCAGGAGACCCACAGGTGGTTCAACGTTTTCGCAGTTGAGCCTGTTACGGCTCCACAGGGCGATGGTTTCTGGAGTGCAATGACCATGCTGCATTTCAAGAGCTTCGACCTTCGAAGCGCATTCCTGGAAAAGTTTGGAGGATCGGGCGGAACTCCGATTTATTCTGACGACCAAACCGCCATCCCCAACAAGCATGTACGAGTGAGTCCAAGCAGCCCTCAATGGCAGAGGAAGTTGGAGGCTCCACTGAGAGTTATCCTGGCTTGCTTGAACGAGCGCGAGGAGTTCCATGGAAAGACTTTTACAATTCTGTGGAAAACCTTGACGATCATGGCCCCCACCGAAGGCCGAAGCTATGCTCCAGATGCCCAAGCTTGGGCACGCCTCCACTACTTCGAAGATGGTGGAAGTTTCAAGGGCCGCCTTGAGATCACACCGCCCCTCATGGAGGTTCTCAAGTCGGTTCCACAGGACGTCGAGGCCACCGAGCAGACACTCTGGGAGCATTGCTGGAACAAGGTCATCTGGGGAGCTCAGTTCGAGCTCGACAAAGCAGAGCGCGAGGCTTTTACAAAGGCCAAGATCGCGGCAGGAGCGGTGGGCAAAGGTATCTCGAAGGGGAAAGGACGCAGGCACTGGTCTGCAGCACTTATCCACAACAATTATTACAATCCCTATCCCTTCGAGATCACAACGCCCGTGGTGGAGGCCGTGGCTTATTGCTGGGACGAGTACTGCACAAAGATGGGTCGTGCAGACGAGTGCGTAGGCGATTTTAATGTTGCCACCTATCAGGGAAAACCTGGAGGTGTCCCCGCAACCGAGACAGATGCGGGTGGAGATGTTCCAATGGCAGATGGGACCAATACGCTGTCCCAGGCTGCCTCAAGTTTCGCATCTGCCGGCGCAGACCACACCGCTACCCCCAAGGGGACGGGCCGTGGCAAGGCCGGCACGAAGCAGAAGAGCTCGTCCTGATGGTTTGGCTTCAGAAGTTTTGGTGTTTCGTGCCAAAGGTTTTCTTTTGAACACTTTCGAGACGAGCTTCTGGGACCACACCGCCACAGCACAGAGTGGCAAGGTCCGGGAATCCCTTCGAGGCAAAGTCTTTTCGAGTCCTTTTTGCTCTTGCTTTCAGACGCCAGCAGAGCGATGATAGCGACGAGCCCGCCAGTTTTCTTTCTCCCCGTAGCAGCCAGGGACCACACCGCCGGGGGTAAAGCTGAGGGTTTTAGCTTAGTTCTTCAAGCCACCCGAAACAAAGCAATGCACTCTAAGTACGGTAACACAGCACTTAGATTGTACCCAGAGGCAACAGGGATACAAGCTAGGATCGTACTTTGTCTAACTGACCTTATCCCAGACCACACCTATTCTAAAGCTGCCCTTTTGCAACAGAGGCCCTCAGTCTTTGTAGGTTCGCTATCTTCCCCCTCCCTGACAACAGTTCCCCTTCAAGCCCTCGAACCTCAGACCACACCGCCTAGTTTCACAAGTGCCTGGGGATCGCCTTCGAAGGTTAGTTTTACTAGTAAGCCCAGAACAGGGAAGAGACGTAGGAAACTCGACAGTAAAGGACAGGTTTGCTTTTATAAAATTAGGTCACAGTCTAAGACTCGAGGACCACACCGAATTAAAGAATTTAGTCGAATTCAAAACCCGACACAAAGCCAAGTACCGCCTCCCAGAGGCACGCCGGGGGCCTCTTTTGAGGCCAACGAAGAGTACCCCCACCAAGGCCAGACCGCTAAGGAGCAATCTAGGGGTGCCATTAGGAGGCGCTGGCGCAGACGCCAGTA